CTACCCACTCATAAATTTTATTTAAAACTGGAGTTCCAAAGATTGTTCATTTGTGAACAATGGATGGAGGCTCAAATCCTTTGTCTTGTAGTTTCATAAATGGATATAAAAATTAATCAGGACTCAGATCAGGACTGAGGTTCTGAATGGTAAGATGTGCTCATGTAGAGCATCTGCTCATTGTCTGTACCACTGCAGTACCTCTTCAACCTTGATTCAGCTTTGCAGACTCTTTTCTCTTGGGGGACAGCTAGAAATGACAATCTGATCTGGCAAGGCTTGCTTGGCTTCCAAGTTCATCTCTCTGTGGGTGGATTGATGTGATAGCAACAAACACCATTTTCTTATTTGTCCTCATTGACACTGAAAGTTCTGCCTTGGAGGGATGAGTTCTCAGCAATTTTAGGTCTCAAAATTCTGCACTTTTCTGCAGTTCACAGTGGGCAGAATTCTCTTTCAACTCATTGCTTTCCACAGGGTATAACTTTATCCAATAAATCTCCTTTCAGATAGGATTTTATGTTCTAGGTTTCAGCTCATAGGTGTTTCTTAGGCTTACAGTGCTGGTATGAGCTTGTCAAATCAGTTCAGATACATCTGTTTTTACTTTGAAGTTTGCTGGGTTTACTGTTTTCCCACTGCATAAAACACATATTCCCTCTCACATAATTGTGTGGAGAAAACAGTTCTTGTTAAGAACTGCACTTATATTTAATTCTGCAGATGTAATGAATTCTTAACTTTTGGGGCAAAAAAAGTTTAAAAGAAAATAAATTAGCCTCAAGGCATTTAAAGATAGAAATTTAGGACTTGTACTATACATTTTATATATGCATTTTTAAGACTTCATTTAGGCAGAGCAGCTTAAAAAGTCTCATCATCTCTGGCGCACTTTATGGCAGCCATCACCTAGAATATTATGCTGACTTGAGCAAAAATCTCAGGGTCACTACAAAAAAAAATCCTAACTTTATTATTTTTTTTTTTTTAAATGACAGGAACATGTTTTTCTTTTGAAAAATACTTTGATCACATCTGATGATCCAGGTGCGTGCAGCTCAGTTAATTGATCAGCAGTTTCCTCAAAGCACCTGGTGTCAAGTTTAGTCTGTCACTTATTATTTATCCAGAAGTCTTGGACATAGAGCAGCAAGAGAGTAAAATAAACCAATACTGGCAGCATATTTTTAGTCTGTATATCTACAGCTCCACAAGGCTTTTACAAGTAACAAAACATCTCCAAAAAGTGTATTTTAACCAATATTTTTATTCTGGCAATTAGTTCTAGTGGTCTAATCATAAGTGCTAATACTGGTATTGCCTGTCTGTGTCTTCTGCAGCATTTCTTTTATGCCAATGAGTTTCTAACACATGAAACAAGCAGAGAGCCCAGCCTTCAGTTGCTTCTGCATGAAGTAAATGTAATTCCACTGGGAATACATATCAATTGTTGTGTTCATCTAGCGGGCATATATATGGGCATTACATATTTTGGCTAGTAACACAGGTTTTAAAGACAACATTTTTCTTTAGATTGACTGAAAATACATTTACATCCACACAGTGGATGTATTTATGTACAAATTGAAGTTGTGCTCCTGTAACAGTAAGTGAGGGACATTGGCTTTTTCTGCTTTACTGACTTTATCTTTAATCACACTTACAAAGAGCCTTTAATGGCTTGTGGGATCCAATAACTGAGGTGGTGAGGTTAATGGGGCATCTTGTTATGGTGCACATTTTTGTTGCAAATAATTTTGTATATTAAATGCATGAAATCTTTGCCATAGGAAAGTGAGACAAGAATTTGAGTAGCTAAAGGAGATGGGTCCAGCTGATAGCTGGTTGCACAAATAAAGCTTAAGAACAATGACAGCAGCTGCCTTTAGAGAATGACACAACTGTAAGGTACAGCCAGCATCCGAAAAGTAGCAGTGAGTGATTTTGTCTGGCAAAGGCAAATTTGAGGGATTTTAAATAATAGTTTTTAAAACCTACCCTTGTGATAATCTTACTTCACCCTGTAAAAAGTAGGAGATAATTCATCTCCATCCAGTATTGTTTATGCATGTGCCCATGCCCACCATGCTGAAATCTTTTGACCACTTCTCTAGCCATGGATGTGCCGAGCATCACCTCCACTTTCAATGCAGAAATACAGCAGAGATATTTTTTATACAGAGTAAGAACTGTGGCTGAAACCACTCCCTGTTAGGATAATTTCTGAGATAGATTTTTTTGGCTAAGTGGTCCAAAACATCAAACATTGCACTGCAAGAAATCCTTAGGACACACAGTACTCCACATTTTCTGTTCCAAAGAAATGCTGCCAGCTAAGGGGTTACCTTACTCTCACAGCCAGGCCAACTCTGTCCTTCCCTCCCTGCCACCTGTATGCTTGTCTGTTTATTGCAAGCACTTGATTTAAACCCCAGATCTGCTCTCTCTGCCCTTTGATGCTTAGAGAATTGAACAAACTGTGCTGCTCGTAAAGCAACATGTACTGTGCTTTTGTGCAGTACTGATTGTCAATAAAATGTAATTTAGCTAAAATAAAAATACCGATTGTCAATAAAGTGCAATTTAGTTAAAACAAAATGCACATTTCTCAGTAAAAGCTTCCATGGCAATAAATGAAAACAGAAAATACTGATAATATTAAAATTGCAAGTTTAATTTTTTTTAAACTATCCAAACCCTCATGTTCAAACTTTCAAACAGAATAGTGGTATCAGGAGCAGGCATTTGTAAAGTTGTTACCAGTTGACACCTGTGTTAAAGTATGTAAGTTAAACATATTTCTGTGTTTCTTGCTACTCTGCTTCTACCAAACATGCTTTCCTTCACACACCAAAATCTCTGCACTAAATCTGGTGGGAAAGGGTTGCCACAGAAGACCCTCCTGTGCATATTGAGTACCTTTTTTTGCCCTGTAGGCTGAAATGTGTCTTTCAATAGCCAAGTCATCCATTCCTGGAGCTTAAGCAATTCCCTGGGCGATTATGAAACTTACCTTAAAAAATAAAGGCAGAATTAAATGCAGCATGTAATCATGTGGGTCAAGACTGGAGGAAAAATGGTTCCATATGTACAGGAAACATTTAGGGGAGCAGAACAGACCTTTCAGGATCATTAAAAAAGGAAAGAAAATCTGATCAAATTCTCCTATTTTTCATTAGCATTTTGAATTTCCAACAACCTTCAGGGTGTTTGTTTTGTACTTTATCAGTTGCCATATACAGAGCTATGGAAATAACAGGAGGTTTGGGGTTTGGTGGAACTCCTAGAGTTAGCCCAAATCCACAAGTGTGCAATGTATATAGAGAGAAGCTGTTCACACAGTCTTAAAGCTGCTTAACAGCTTAAAATGATAAAAAGTCCTTAACACAATTTAAGAACTTAAACCACTTAAACTGTTTGAAGCAGCTTGTGAGCTCGAAGAGTTTGGGGCAGGGGCTGTGCTGAGAGGAGCCCTTGGAGCTGCAGCCTGGGGACAGGGCTCCCACAGCAGGAGTGCCAGAGAAGGGCACCTTGTGCACCTAAACCTGGGAGGCCTGGGGGTGATGTGGAGGAGAAGAAGGAAGATCTCTCTGTGTATTTTTATGGGGCATTGTGTGTATGCCCAGATTGCTTTGCTTTAAATAGTGTAGCAGGGAATCTTACAGGCATGTGAGGTGACAGCAGTGCCATCTCCCCAGTGAAACAGGGAAGAGGGTGGCAGAAAAATATTGTCCATGACAAGTCTTCAACTGTGGGAAACAGCTTTGGCTCATGGGCCAAGGGAAGGCTCCTCAGGAGCATTGTGAAGAAATCTGCGCAAGCTGCAAGCCAAAATGTTCTGCTTTTGTGGCTCCAGGAGCTGGAGGTTTGGGGAAGATGGCCTTTCAGATCTATTGATCAGGAAGTTTTTGTTTCTGGAAGATTGTTTTTGGGAAAAAGAAATGGGGTGAAGCAGGGAGGGTTGCTTTAGTTTAATTGATGTCAAGCAATGTTGGTTGGTTATATCAGAAGCATGCTATTAATGGGTGAAACCACACATTTATAAAGCATTTTAAAGAAGAGGAAACATTATATAAGAGCTTCAGTTTGGTCCCTGCTGGTGTGTGTAGTCATCAGTGGTCAAATGTGTGTTTGTATGCTCAGATGGTGGCGCAGCATAGAGGTGATACTTGAGGGTGGAGGAAGAAGGTACAGGAATGGGAATGAACCTCTGAGAGAGGGAAAAAATTCAGCCATGATCCTGCTTTTGATGGCAGTGATTTCACCTTAAATGTTTTGAAGCTTGGGCTGGTTTACCTTGATGCAGGCAGTGATTTACACCTTTCAGTGCAGAAAAGGCTGTAAAACAGGAGTGGATTACATTCTGTACAATTTGAAAATAAATTGTGCATTCACAGCCACTCGGGGTGAGGTCCATTTACACTTCCAGAGTTGTATATGATGAGTAAATGAAAGTTAGGCCTCTGTGTGAATGAAAAATGCCTGTTTTACTAGAGGCTGTGAAAAGAGAAAGTGAGAGAGACTTAGTGGAAATTGGAAGCAAGATTTTATTTGTTTGTTTAAAACACTCATATTGATTTGGAGTGAGATGGAACATTGGTATAACTGCAAACTAATTCCACTGAATTCTGCAAGGTATTTCTGTGAAGTTGATGGGGCTGGAAGTTTATACTTATAATCTGAGTTTTTTCTGTGTTCAGGTAAGTCTTTATCACATTATATTCTTGTGCAACCTTGGGGGCATATTTAACATGAATGTTATCAAAAAAAAAATAATCTTCACTGGGGTGAAAAAGAGCTTGGGTGCAGTTATAATCCTATGAGCTCAGTACAATTAAATAATTACTTGGCTTTCCTTTATGATGAGGAATGAAATATGGAAATGTTATTTGCTGAGAGTGCTTTCTGATGGTGACAGACATTGAAAGGAACCATTTAATTAATGAAATCTCGCTAATGTACAACACAGTACTAATTTCTCAATATCACTTCAATTTCAGAACATTTCAGGATCTGTCCAAACAAATGGATATATCTTATGGCACAGTCAGGGACTCAGCAGTGTATGAATACTTTAAAGCAAAAGGGACCAACCCTTTGGAGCAGGATAACACATTTGCTGAACTGTGGAGGACTATCAGTAAGAATAATGGGGCAGATAATTGTGTATCAAACCCTTCTGAAGGCATCAGGAAGGTAAGACTGGATCACAGGGGTTTTCATTTCATTTCTGTGTCAATGTTGTTTCCATGAAGTTAATGTTAAGTCAAAGGAAAGAAATTACAGTCATTTAACCCCCCCCTAAATACCTATATAAAGTTCCTTTTAGTACCTTGATGGCAGATAAGAATCATACTTTGGTGTCCCTCTTCTGAATTTAAGTACTTTAGCTCTGCAGAAGTTTTCAGTATGTAAGTCGTTTGGATCTAAAGTTTCTCAGTTTCAGGGAGCTGCTTTTTTGGATGTAATTCTTTATATTATGCAGTACTGACTCCTGTCCTTTGCTCATTTGAGTTTGTTTTCTTTTTTCTGAGTTCAAGATTGGAAACATGAGTAAGAATTAAGGGATCCACAGAATGAATACTCATTTCTTTTGAAACAGAAATTTAATGCAAGATTTTTCTTTGTTTATTCCAGACTTCGAAAAATGCATTCACATGACACTGTGTTTTACCAAAATGTTATTTCCCTCAGATAAAGCTACACATTTTCTGTGGAACAGAGAATTAATGTGGCATTCAAGGACTGATGTATAACAGCTTGGGATGCTGCATCTTTGTTCTATGTCCTGTGATAATGAGTATTGGCCATTGCAAATACCCACTCTCTCTCATAGCCTGCCTCTCCCCTCTGCTCCCCATCTTGAATCTCAACAGAATCAGGCAGCACCTTACATCAAACATGTCCACTACATTACACAGAGGGATGCATGCTGAAAGCCTTGATGTGCTGCTCCTTTAATGAAAAGTCTCCTCTTCATCTGTCTATTGATTTTTTTCCCTACAACAAGTTAACAGTTTTTATTACCATAGTGAATGTTTGATCAGAGATACTCTTGTCAGTGAAACAGCGATTTACTAGTTCTTTATGCTTTTGTACATGGGGCATGATAAAATGGTTTTATCTTGTATTTCCTTTTTATTTTTTGAAATTTTAAAATCTTTTCTGAACAGAGGGACAGTATCCAAATTCTACTGTTTTTACAGTGCCATGAAGGGGGTGAACACAAGTAATGCAAGCCATCCAATTTCCCAATTCAAACTCCTTTAGCAAAAGATTTCCAATTATTTGCTCGACTTTTGGACAAAATCTTTATGCAGACACTTCTTGTCTTAGCACACAAGTGTTCAGTCAAAATTTGGGTACACCTGCCCATCCCTCAGATGATTTTCTCCAAATCCCTCTGCCCTCAGCTCCAAAGTCCTCTCTTCCTTGGGGATGAGGTAGAGCTCTGGCAATAGCAAAGTCTGCAGTGGTTGTTGGCTTTTTTTCCCTAATCTTCTCAGCATTTTATGAAAATGAGCCCTCTTTTGATGTGTTTTGGTAGCATTTAGAGGAGAAATAGAGACATTAAATACTTTTCTATGTATCCTAGCATTTAAGCCAATAATAAAACAGTTTAACTTAGAAAAATATTCAGTATTTTACTTTTCTTTTTTCTAACATTCTTATGGCAGTGGATGCTCTTTATCCATGAAATTGTAAATACTCTTATGCTGTAAGCCTAGTGCATGCTGCCATTTATGATAGCTACATTTGCTAAGCCAGAAATGTAACTGTAGATTGGCAGGCAGTTGAGAATACCAATTATATTGTCTGTATGGAGCTGGCAGCTCCATCCTATCTATGTGATAATAACTTTTCATACTAAGTTTGATTTCAGTGTTGTAGGGTGATTTTTATATAACTAGATCAGCTCATTCAATTAATGTCAACAACAACTAAATTTTACTTCAGTCCCCAAAGATGACCGAGGCCGCTATTTGATTAGACACCTACATAAATTGGCTTTAATATTTAATAACATTGTCAACTAAACTATTGTGTTTATAGTTTAAGTGTCACTCTTCCTAGCTCATTGAACTCTCTGAATAAACAGACAAATTTTCTATGTCAAATATTATGGCTAGAAATTCTGGGTTTTTTTTTAAAGGAGAATTGATGTCAGTGAAGGAAATGAGAGTTTCCATCCATAAACACATACTGCTGTATGAAAGAGATGTAAATATGCCTTACAAATGTGTTTCATAGGAAATGGGAGCTCTAAATCTCTCTAGCATAAAAAGATTCATAAAACATTTTTCTGAATGAGGACTTGCCTGACACAATGCAAAAAAAAGAAAAAAAAAATCACTACTATTCTTTCTTCCTTCCTTCTCCTTTCCATTATCTTCAGACAGTATCACAGTTCAGCTGCAGTTACAAACAAAGCCATGCTACTTCAGTGCAAAACATGGAGTGCTGGTTATTTGTGCCACAGACAGGTATTTCAAGTGTTTGTTCCTGTCCCATTTATCTTTCTCCATTTCAGGGAGATTTTCCTACTCCCTTTGACTGTCTGAAAACAAAGGGATAGCAGTGGGGCAACGTCATGTGAGCTTTCATGGCATTTGGTTGCCATGGCAGAGATGTCTCTTCAGACACAGCAGTCTCCCTGCAGCCACGGTGACCATCTCCCGTGGGCAAGGCACAGCTTTTGCAGCACTGGGAGGGCCAAGAAAAGGCAGGAATGCACTTCACTGTCACATAAGTGACAGGAGGACTCCTGAGAGCCGAGGGTGGTGGGGAGAAGGTTGCTTTTGCTGTATTACCAAGATAGGTGAAAGTGATCATTGAAGATGGAAAGCCTCCTCCTATTTAGCAATGCCGCTGCAGAGCACAGGAGCAGAAACCACACAAACCACCAGTCCATACAAAATGCTGTTTTGCCACTTTGAGCTGTCTGGGAGTATCATAGATGAGGATTGACTAATGCTGTCACAGGAAAGTTTCTACAGCCAAAGTCTTAGTGATTGCTCTGCTTTACATCCACTGGCAATCAGGGTAATTACTGATTGTACTAACATAGTGTGGATTTTATTTCCTTTGGGAACACTCATTTTTGCTTTGAAAGAATGAAGTAATATCATCCCCATGTGATCCTGCTTCTGCAATATATACAGATAGGAGAATTAAGCTCATTATTACGTTTTATAACACCCTGCTTTGGTTGAGATTGTTCCCCAGTCCAATTAATTTAATGCCAAAACTTCTCTGAATTGTTTCTTTTTTTCCTGTGTATCACTTTTGATGAAAAGTGATCAAAACTAAGTAGAGCACAAAATGAAGATGCATCATTGATTTAGGCAATAGCACAGTAAGAGTTTTTTCCTTTTCTTTTTTGCTTCCTTAACGATCACTGAGCATTAAATCAGAGTGATCTCTCTTCATTCTAATTTTGAGAGTAGAAGTAGCTTAAAAGTTCATTTTGTATGATTTTTTAAAAACTACTTTGTTCCCAATGAATTTAATATTGTGAATTGTGATTGCTCTCATAGAGCTTCATAAATTTCTCCATTTCTTGACCCATCAGCCTTTGAAGCGAAAGCAAATGCTTCCTTAAACCTGAATCTATTGAATCCTGTAGTGGTTCCTTAATTATTTTAATGCTTGAAACATTTCAACAGGGTCAAATGGCATGCTTTTTTTTTTTTATTATGAATTATGTTGCTTCTCTTAAAGCACTTTTTTATAGATAATAAATGTTACCCAACCATCTTTTTGAACTACTCCAGTAATGCCAATGTAAAGGTCATTTTTTATATTTCTGTGGTATCAGCCATGTAATGGGATCAGCTACATTGACACTATGTTCTGGCAGTGAATTAATGATGAATTTTGCATTATTCTGGCACTTCTGTCTTAAATATGATAGCTTCTTCAAAAAATTCAGAAAAATTAGAGATATATCAGTGATTACTCTGGAATCAATCTTTTATCATGCTGTTGTTTCTTAGCATCTTTCTTTGAAACAACATTGTTTAACCATCAGTAAGCCAGGACCCTTTGAACAATATTCCTCTATCTCCATCCATCCTGAAGAGTGACATTATGGGGGTTTTTTCTGCTTTCCTGGAGTACTATTTTCTTTTTAGCCCTTGTCTTGTCTAGGAAGCCATCTTCTTTAGCCTTTTAACTTTTTAGGATTGTGAAGAATAAATATATTTTTTTAGTATAAGTTTTGCCCAGGGGGTTCTTTTTCTTAAATCTCTTAAACCAAGGATAAATCTGGTGTCCTTGGTGTAAGCCAAAGTAGTTGTTCTACCTGGATGGAATAAATGGGTGCTGCTTTGGCTGACTTTCTGATAAAGAGGTTTCTGAAAGTGTAACCAAGTGATTTTTAGTTTGTTGTGAGGCATGCCTGTATGCTGAGAGTCACAGTAAGGCCATAACAAAGGAGAAAAATAGGAAGCACAATGAGAAGACTGAAGTATAAATTTGAGCTCATTATTCTGTGTTTATTTCAGTCATTTTTTATTCAGCTAGCATTTGCACAGGCCCTTTTGCACTCTTCCTACATTCATGGCTTGGAAATTAAAGGACAGGCATGCCCCGTAAAGACTCCATGAAGACATGGAGTCTTTCATTAAAAATAAAGTTTAAACTACATTTAAAATTTGAGGTTGATTTTTCATTGAAAATAAATGTCAATTTGATTTTATTTGGCTTTTACTGCTTGCCTAGTGAAGGTATATAAAAAGTCAGCCTACTTCAGACACACGTATGTGTGCACTTATGTATCTTGTACATATGTTTTTCAAAGTTTGACAGCTTTTCCTTAAATTGAACAAATGATACTGCTTAGCTGTCACAACAGATATTAACAGGGAAGTGAAGGATGCCGAATTTAGACAGCAACTAAACATTTTGTTATAAGAAAACGTTCCACACAATGAACACACACTAATAGTATGAGGTCTTCACTCTTCAGGGAAGAAAATTTCACAAGTGGAAGAAGTTTGGAAAGAACTAAGTTTTCCCTTAGGAGAAAGGGATCTTTGGAGATTCTGGTTTTGGCAATCAGAGAGGGAGGGGACACAGCCTTGCACCCAGGATTTCTGGGAGTTGAGACATAAACACAACCAAGAGTTCAAAAGTTAGATTCTTGATTATGCTAAAATGATCAGGCTGTCAGAGAAATAATGCTCCACAGATGTGATGACATTGAATAGGCTGATTTATGTCGTTAAAAATATGTAAAATAGATGTGAAGAGTTCTGGCAGACTTGGTTTATTGACCATTTGCAGTTGCAGGATGTGATTTAGGATAGCAGCACTACAAACACAAGTAGACCTTTACAAAAATCTGCTGCACAGCATTGAAAGTCAGTGTACAAAGCCCTTGTATATAAGATAACATTCAGAAAGCTGAGGAGTGAAAAGTAGCCTCAATAATGTGGTTTTTTTTCTTTAGCCAGCACGTTGTAATACAAGTGGAAAATTTGAGGAATATTGCATTCTTCAAGTATTACTAAGAGATAGATAAGGAATGTATTGTGTTCAGTTCTCTTTTCCAAATTGTAAATGTGAAAAGATGATTTGCTTACCAGTTATGAGAGAACAGAAGATAAATACTCTTTAGCTCTTTAAACTGAACAAATCACCAAAAGAACCCCAGAAACAACATCAAAAAAACCTCAACCCCAAAACTCTAAAACAAAACAAAAAACCAAACCAAACAACAACAATAAAAGAAGACAAAAATTCAACCAACCAACTTAAAAGTACCCAGAGAAATGTAAAACACATTTTACCTAATTCACATAGTGAATTAGGCCAGATCTTTCTGGGGTGTCCGATTTCTGTATATCTATCATGCAGGACTTTTTTTTCTCTAATATAATGGATTTTGAATAAATTCTGTGTACAGTAACAAGTGCTGCTGCTTTTGATCCCCTGAGGACATATTTTTAATGCTGACAGTTTCCTATAATAGGTGGCAAAATCATATGAATTATGATTTACCTAGGAACACAATGTGGCCAAGTAATAAAAATATTTTCCAAGGGTTCAGTGTACAGACTCTTTCACATCTTACCAAAGAGAAAGGATATAACATTTCTACTCTGTTTTAACCTAGAAGCAAGTGAATTTGTGGATCTTTGATTCCCTCAATGCAGATAAAAGGGAATCAAGGAAAATAGGTGGATTGCAGCAAGTACCTTACAGAAAGTCTAGGCAACATAATTTTAATCTTTGCTTCCCTGAATTCTGCCTCCCAGAAGGTACCTCACCCATTTGATTTATTGTCCTGTGTAAGCAACTGTAGGGACTTCAGAAAGGTATGGTCAAACTATGATGAAGTAAATTATCTTATTTGCTCAACTGAGGAATCCAGTGTAATGAAATAACTGATGGAGTCTTACAAACTTAAGGTGAATTCAAAACTGTGCTTAGAAAATAATTGGAAGGATGAACTAATTCTGTGGCAGAGCTGCAGCCATTTGCTAGGGGAGCTTTGTGAATCAATTCCCATAAAGAAATATATACAGGACTTCAGCTACTTAAATATATTAGGCAACCAATGATTACTTTAACCAACAAAATTATATTTTAATTTACTCTACTGAACCCCTATCCAGATATCCTTCTTACATCTTGTGTTAATTACATTCATTATATACACTGTGTGCAGGCCTTGGTTTCAGTTCCAATTAAAGCTGATATTTAAGGATATCTGCATGGATATGTGTAAAAGCAATATTTATCCCAAACCTGAAATAATAGTACATGCATGTGAACCTTCTTACCTGTGAAGAAAAGAGGGAACTCTTTCAGCTCAGTGTGTGCCTTTTGTTACAGGACTAACACAGCTCTCAGAAGAGCTGTGTTTACTTGCAAGGCAAATTTGTTTATTTACATGTTTATATGAGCAAAGCTGAAAAATTACAATTTTGGTACCTGTGATGCTCATCACTTAATGCTTAAAATATGCCAATCTTGGCACTTCAATGTATAGAACATGTCTCCTACAAAACATGAATCCAATTTCATCATCTAAAGCAATAGCTTTCATTTATAATTAATAACCTGTTACATAAGCTTCACCTACACTTCTAGATGGCTGAGCTATCCTATGTGCCTACTAAAAAATGGAAGATATTTTAGCAAGGTTTGAAGTAGGTGAGGCCCTGCTGGGAGAGAAAACTGCTAGAAATGTATTATGTCAAAGGTCTACATATAAACTGTGACGTAATGAAATACCACCAAGGAACAGTGACAAGATTTGGATTTGTTTACTGGCTTAGGTTTTGTCCTACCTAGAAATGCAGTTTAGTTTAGACTGTGTTGTGTTCATGCTGTATTTACAGGCAAAAAAGGGAAATTATGCTTTCCTGTGGGATGTGACAGTGGTGGAATATGCTGCACTGACAGATGATGAGTGCTCTGTGACAGTCATTGGAAACAGCATCAGCAGCAAAGGATATGGGATAGCACTCCAGCATGGAAGTCCATACAGAGATCTTTTCTCCCAGAGGTAAACTGAAACAAAGCTCATTTTATAGCATTTCTGTCTATAGCCAGCGACTGTTCACATTAATTTTGGCATTTAATCAATAAAGAACAATGAACAGATGACAGCAGAGAGGTTATGAGTTCAGGCTCCCACAAAGCTGCTGCTCTTCCTGCGCTATGTGCATCTGGTTTGGGAGGAGGGGACTGGAGGTGATGTGTGGCCTCACCTCAGCCAGCACTGCCTCTGGCACAGAACTGATGTCCTCAGAGCTCGGTGAGAGGTAGAGGAGAGATTGAGGAGAGATCCTGAGCTCATGCCACGTTCTGCAGGCTCTGAAGAAATGTGTTGCTCCCTGCAGGAAGCAAGCTGCAATGCCCTGCCTTATCCTTTAGGGTGGAGGGACTGGTCCAGGACTCAGGATGGTGCAGGGCAACAAGAATTGCAGGGAATTGCATGGGACTGACAAGACCAGAAAACTATAAAATTATGCTGTTTAGTGATCTCTGAGCTACCAGCTGGGTGTCTCTTGTCCATGTGAATGTGTGCCCTGAACTGAAGACACACAGCTGTGCAGCGATGTGTGCCCTTAGCAGAAGGTGAGCCCATGCTCTGCTCCAGGCAGGGATCTGAAGCGAGATTGCCTCATCTTGCTTCTCCTTCATAAAAAGGAGCAAAACTCCAGCTGCACAACTGGAGACAAAGCTGCCTCAAGAGAAAAGATTGTTAGTAAACAGCTAAAACAGTTATCAAACCAAATCCAAAATGAATCATTCATGCAGAGACGGGACACTTCACAAGAGACAAAACAATGATTAATTAGCAACTGTTAACACAGTAATTCAGGCATTAAGTAACAGCATTGAAGTAAAATCCTTTTGAATAAACTACATTTACTAAAATAAATGAGTTGGTCGCTGCTTGAACAGATTTGTACTAAGTGGCGCACAAACAGTAGCATGTTTAGGCTCACATATTTTTGGAATTACTGTAGGAGAGCAGCAGTGGAGTGGGTTGAGCATTTCACTAGTGGGACCAGCTGCTGCAGCTGAATGTAGCCAGACCAGGCATAACTAACTGGAATGCGGTGATTTCCCCTGGAAATGCTGTTTGCATTGCAGTGGAATTTTTGACAGTCTCTTTTTTCCTTGAAGTACTCAGTGGAGTTTACCTGCTGCTGTGAGTAGAAAGAAATCTTGGTATAAGGGAGTTTCAGCACTCTGGTGGTGGAGGGGGTTGGAGTTTTGAATTATGGGATGGTAGATTTAAGAGCTTTGAAGCATAAGGAAAAGACAAAAAAAACCCTGTGAAAAAGTATAATTGCAAATAATACTTGTCTTTTAAAATTTCTGCAGGATCCTAGAGTTGCAAGAAAGTGGAGATTTGGATGTTCTTAAGCAGAAGTGGTGGCCACGGATGGGACGCTGTGACCTGAACAGCCATACCAATGCACAGACAGATGGGAAGGCACTCAAGCTGCACAGTTTTGCAGGAGTTTTCTGCATTTTAGCAATAGGCCTTCTTCTTGCTTGCTTGGTGGCAGCATTGGAGTTGTGGTGGAACAGCAACCGTTGTCATCAAGAAACACCGAAAGAGGTCCATAACTTTTATTCTTATCACAATTAAAAGTAGAGAACACAAAAGAAAGAGAGCAAGTGGAAGTTGTGGGATTTTAGGTGCTCTCACACAATATATTTGATTTATTTTGATTTGCCATACTAAGCTTTGCATATAACGTTTTGGGTGGTTGTTTCTAAGAAAATAAAAACAAACAAACAAAAGTGTCTTTTGTGCACATGGAAGGTGCCAAACTGACAGCCCTGGAGACTAAAGTCCTCTATTTATTTGTAGAGCAGATACAGCATGGGCAGCAGCAGTGCAAACTTCCCCTCATTGCCCCACCAATGTGCCTCAGCCCTGACCTGGAGAGACCACCTTTAGGGGTAAGAGAGTGGTTCAGAAACACGCCCTCGGCCACTCTGCTGTGAGTGACGGGGAGGCCAGTCACAGGCACCCAGCTGTGCCATCTGTGGTGATGTTTTCTCTGATCTGAGCCCCATCCATTGGCTGGGAGATCTGAGTCCATCCTGTGCAGGCTCTGCAGCTGCCAGACGTCTGGTAGCTGCTCTCCTTCATGGCTGACCTAGGCTGAGTTTGAAGAGGTACACAAGCAATTAAAAATAAATCAGTTAGTTAATAATTGAATAAGCCATATTGCCATGACACTGTTTAAATGCTTCCTTTCTTTTGAAGTCAGTTTTATTTCTAAAAGTAGGAGCCTCTGAGGAAGCTGACCTTCATATAACATGTTTTATCTAGGAAATTATACCTGAGAAGTTCTTGGGTTTGAAGTTTCCATGCACAGCAGCCAGAAGAAGTTAGCAATGCTAAGATAGAATAATCACTCTATTCTCAGATCTGTCTTGCATGAAGCCTGTATTTGTTTACCTAGTTTAAATGTTTAACAAACTAACCTCTTGCAATTTTGGAGACACTTGAGACGTTTGTAGGCGCTTTCATCTTGGAACAGATGTATTTTACAAGCTAATAATAGCAGTGAGCTACACTGCAGCTGGAAAGTAGTACATAGCCCACCAATTCTAATCTTTCTTTTTCAAGTTGCAGGAGCAGCAGACTAACTGACATACCTGTCACCTGTAAGCAATTTTGGCAAATTGGCAACCTGGTCTAGTGGATGGTGTCCCTGCCCTTGGCAGAGGGGTTGGAATTGGGTCCCTTCCAACCCAAGCAGTTCCATATGCTATGATTTTGCCCTGCTGCCTTGTAGAAGTTGCTCCTGCTGTAACTCCAAAGGTGCCCCCTTGCCATGTTGTAAAGGCCTAAAGCCCAGCAGTGTGTCACTGCACACTGTGCAATCCTGCAGGGCACGGGCAGGGATGCTTCCCAAAGTGTGTTCATGATGTGTGCACAAGCACTTATCTGGCCATCCTGTGTGTGTGTTCCCCTCTCTACGCTCAGGGAATTGCCTTTGTAGAGTGAGGTGAGAATATGATTTAAAGGCAGTTTCATATATCTAAGGTGAAAAAAAATCACTTTTTTATGGCAAGGAGTTTTGAATACTCAGTTTCCATTGCTGGAAAAGCATCTGTCTTCTCAAATTTAAATATATTATTTTTTTCACCCATCCCTTTCCTTTCTTTTTTAATACCTCTAAGAAGGATTATTGCATATCTATGCCTACCCCATCCCAGCTTTTCTCTCTTTCCCATCCTTCTCCTTCCCTTTCCCTCCAGTGTGTTCTTGATGAAGGTTGCTCTTGTACATGTGTATTGCTCTTTGGCAGTTTGTTTGTCAAACATAGAATACTTTTAACCTTCTCTGTTTTAAAGTAAACTGTAGTTACTTCTATGGTAGAGCTGTGCTTGGGGAGATTGCTGTCTGTGGGGCTGGGCTGCCCTTAGAGCACAACTAGGCTGGGTTAGAGGCGAATTAAACTTAAACAGAGCATGGACAGGTTCCAGCAAGATCAGTGATGAGGAGGCTGCCAGGAGAGGGGGAGCAGAGTCAGCAGAAGCCCTGGCACAGCAGGTGTGAAGGCTGAACGAGGAGGTGAGAGGGCACAGCTGGAGGATGGTGTATGCCAGGCAGGGTGGGCTGGAATGAGGGGTCCCATGAAAGGACAGTCAGCTGCAAGGACAGGCAGGCAGCTAGAGGCACCTTTGGGTCATCAGAGCAGCCAGAGGGAAGGGTGACAGCTGCCCAGAGCCAGGGACAGGCAGGATCCTCAGGGACCCTCTACCTAGGCCAATGGCCACATTGCTCCAGCCCTGCTGCACACCAGGGGTTGGGGCTCTTGTCACAGTGACCACAACATCCACTCAACTAAACTAGCAAACTAAATTAGCAAACAAATGTAGCCGTGTTTCCTGGCAGATTAGTGGCCTGACATATTTTATTTATGTACTACCAGTGAGGATGGATTGAGGTAGGACATCTGATGGCTACTGCAATTGAGGTAGGAAACCAAGTTTCAAAAGAGGTGGTGAATATAGGTTGAAGGTTTTTGATGTGTTTAAAAGAACCAGGTTTCAAAACTATGGTAAGGACAGGAACCAGGGCTGAGGGGGGTGTGGAGTCCTGGGCACTCCTCTGCTTGAGGCAGGAGCCTGGCATAGGGAACAAAAAGCACATGGAGAGTTTGATCTCCAGGAGGAGTGTGTTCAGCATAGCTCATTTCTAGCACTGTGTGTTGAGCAGCATTTCTACAGCAAGAGCTATAATGGCAGAGCTACAGCATGAGTAGCATACACAGAACATTAAAATCTGCCTCTTAGCTGCATCTGTACTCCAGCCAAGTCATTAGTTCAGTAAGAGCTGCAAACTCAAATCATGCTGCTGATTTTCTTCTGCTTTTGGGAAGGCTTTGGCAAAACACAAGTGTTGTGATATCACATAAAAATTGTGGGAACTGGGATGTGTCCCAGCTACTTTCTTCTGTGAAGCAGAACTTGTGGAGGGTCACAGAGAAGGCTGATTTTCTTGGCAGTCTGAGATTAGACTTGGATATTGCCAATGAGGCAAAGAGAAGGTGGCAGCATTTGGCGTTTGTGTCCCTCACCCTGTTGGGAGCTTTATAAATCCCTTGGAAAAAAATTATACTGGAACCAGAATTGAGCAAGGAGTTGTTTTGGCTTGTGAAGCCCTTGTGTAGCATTCTCACTTTCGCATGACCCACCTGGTTGGTTGTATCATGTCAATTGCCAACTCCACAAAAAAGAAATGTTGGGACGATGAATGTACAGCTACTATGGCAGATTTATGGCAGGGTTGTGTGCAGCTTGCTGGAGAGAGAGAAAAAGCATTTTTTAGAGACTCTTATTTTTTATGTTGGGGGTCAGTGAAGTCTGTGGCTAAAAAAATGAGCATTGCCTTCCTTGGCATTGGAGAAACATTTTCAGCTGACATTAAGGTGATGTTTTTTGCCAGTTTGTTGTCTTTTCTTTTTCCGCATTGTATTCTTTAGGCTTTTGTGGAGGTTAGGCTGAGCCAATACATTGATGTCCAAGGACTCAGATGTCTGCACGGTATAAATCACAGCTCTTAATTACACTGAGTGTGCAGGATGTAGTATTAACTATGAGACAAACAGAAGCCTGTCTTTTGAAACCTGACAACATAACTTGGATCTTGATATTAACCTGATCTACATTTGTGGGCTTCATAGGAAGAGTTGTGTCAAGGCCACACTGCTTCCAACTAGAATATTTTTTTACATTTTTCACATATGAAGAAACTCAACTTCACAAAAATGTAAAAATAGTAATGTCCCTATACACTATATCAATTCATTAAGACAGACCTCCAGGAAAGATAAATTACCTTTATTTTTCCATGTTGCCGCTGGTTCACAATTGTATCTTTCAAGGAATAGTGAAATTTCTTGCTAGAAGAGCAAAGACTGGGTTGATCTTTTTCAGGATGTTGCTACAAGATATTTTTAATCTATTTGAAGGAGATTTGTAAAAATGTTTCTAATGAGTTGTGCTGTAAAAATCTTAATGTTATCCCTATTTAATGCTTATCAGATCAGATTAACAAAAGAAAGATTAGCTCCAGCATCAGGAAAAAATGTACTGCTGCAACACCATGCCATGTTCTTTTATTAGGGCTCAAGTTTGCAATCTCTTCAAGCTGGAGAATATCTGGTAATGTTAAAATTGCCTTATTACTTTCTAACTCAGAAAAAAACTTGCACTAGATCATATTTTTCCAAAAAGATATTCTGGAATTTATAATCACCCTCTACTCATTGTTGGTACCCAGCCATCCAACACCCACAGTGAAATTTAGCCAGCTCAAACATCTATCTCTGTGTGTTAAAATCTTGAACTTACACAGCTGCTACTCAGCCTGAAATACTGATACCTAATCTTTTGACTTTGATAAACTTCAGAAAATTAGGGAGTTGTGAAAAATTAATATTTATTCTGGAGTCTTTGTTCAGTCACTTTACATCCCTTTTAAACGACTGGGCAATCAGATAAAGTTATTAAAACTGGTACCATATAAATGTTAACTTTTGACAATTGCCTCTGGATTTCTTTAACTTTTATGTCAGTCCTATGCATTTATTTCACAATATCAGTAAGCCAGAATGTAATTTGGATCATTTAACAGCCAAGGGCTTTGCCACATCATCAGATTTTTGGTATCTTTTATCCCCTTTGAAGGAATGAAAGGCAGTTTTCACATCTTTGTTGTCATTATGATCCAGCATGGCTGCTTCCTGCAATGGGCTCCCCAGCACCCTCTGTGCTTTATCAGCTATGTCTTTGTGTGATGTGCTGGTCTCTGAAGATTATTACTTCTCAGATCTCATCACAGCTATGAAGAAAGCATTCCTTGTTCATCCATACGCTACAAAACAATGGGAACTTATATGCAAAGACAAAATATCCTACTATTCATGGAAAGAAAGTTTAATTCCCATATTTTTCACTGTTCATGGGACTATTCACTAAAAAATTAACAGGCAAACCCATGTAAAACAAAATTAACCACTTGCGCAGAATGATTTTTTGTTTTCTGGGATCTGACACTTGTTGCATCTCTCATAAGAGGTGATAGTGATTCAC